ATTAAACATCAAGTTTTCACTTGAAATACTCGAGTCATATGAAAAATGATGATCGGGATTTTTTAGATTTCCAGTTATATTGGCTTTATAATGTGATTCGTTTTTATAAATTGGTAAATTCTTGGATTTCTTTCTAAACATTTTATAAATTCTCTACTATACTAGATAAATACCAAAATATTGATTTTTGATTTAATCTCTTTGAATGTAGGTGATCAATATGATTGATAATTATCCGTAGCTGATGATAATCGAAATGCTGCAGTATAGTACATTGTATTACATATTGCGTTTTTGACTAGCTTAAATTAATATTTCCTGTTTATATTCACTAGCTAGTCATCTGGTTCACAATGAGTAGTCAATGATGGTAAAATATTATCAGAATGGGGATTTGTAGAGATTGTAGTAATTTTTAATGGTTGAATTCATGAATCAATGTAAGCTAGACCATAATTAAACTGGACGGCCGTTTCGTTCTAGTATGGGACTCCTCACTAGTACGGTCCAAGATCTCGCATGCGGTACTCGAGCGCAAACACAACCTCTAGACAACTAAGCCGGCATTCAACAGTGTTAATGTCTAACTTTAATCGATCCATGATTTTGTGCAACACTTCGCTCATTGTTTGAGGTGGATAACTGTCTCCACCAAACAGGGATTGGACTCTACTGGTCACGGCTTCTCATTTGTGCTCCAAGAAGTCCATCTTGAATCTAGTCACTGGTAAGCATATGATAATCCATTTCTTCCAGGTTTCCAATGGTGGTTTAGCTTAGTTCGACTCATGAATTCAACTGGTAAAATATTAGTTCCAACTAACTAGGATCAAAGTGGTTCCAGGTTTGTAGTGGATACACAGCATCATGGTGCTAACTCGTGACTGTATAATGATTAATTTTAATGAGAAAACCACTGATGAGTAATAATAAGACGTTAAGATACTGAAGAAAACTCAGTCGGAATCGTACTAATGAAACGGGGAAGTGAAATTTGTTGCGGTCTTTAGTAGAATTTATGGATTTGAGTCTAACAATGGAATTCAGGATAAGCGTTTCGTTTTATTTGGAATTCACGAACTGGATATCAGTGTTAGCGATATATTGATGCTATCTGTACAGCATGCACAAATGTCAACTAATACAAACTCAGTCAAGGTTATCAATAACGGTAATAATACGATCGTCTTCGACATTTCGTTAGTGTTTGTTAGGTTAGACCATACAAAGTACGCTTAACTCAAGTTAGAACTTTTGGCCAACTTTGGGATGTTTATTAATGATGCAAACACAACATATTTTTTGCAAATTCTTTCATTTTGTACTATAAATTACTCATTCACATTTGCTATTTTATGTTTGGTCACAGTTTTCCTGAGATCAGTGTTCGATACCGTACTTAATCTCCATTAACTTGTTTATATATAAAGGTCTTACTTACATTCATCGGTGTCATGGTTTCGTCTTTTATTCTCGATTGTAAACTGATAATTCTGTGCGAACCACTACCCATAACTTCCTTTCTGTTTGGAAAGTGACAATCACTGTGTAATGTCATTTATCTACTATTTTTAATTAAGTTGGGAAAACCTTGAGGACTTCACAAACAGTAGATAGTCGCCTGGATACAATAAAATGTACACATTCTTCATAATGGGTCAGGTTAGCACCTCGAACAGATTTGAATTAATTAGTAGAAATCCTTTATGTGGAGTGAATTTACAAAGTTCAGTTCTTTAGACATTTATATACTAGTACTAATCAGTGTATGTACATGTTGACGATTGGAAGTAAAAGGTATGTAGCAATATTCTATCACCATAGAAGTAGAATAATCTCAAATTCCAAAATCATGCGAACACATGTCAATCTATGGAGAAACTCCTACTATAAAAACTGTTTGTACCTCCATAATGTGAACTAAGAATCACTACCTATTTGTGAAAACCTAATAATACATCGAAAAAGAATCTCAAATTGAAATACATGACACATTGTCTAAAGAAAATTCAATTATCAACAGTCCACACGTCCAAAGTATGCCATAAATAAAACTGGGTGTATGTTATTTGAACGTATAAAGAAATGATTAAGAATCTATTGACTAACCGTTAAAGTTAAACAATCCAATCAAAAGAACTAAAAGCTACAAACTATCGTCAGAAAAAAACATGCCGAATTAAACGACTAAGTTGTCAATAATAATGTAAAAGAAGTGCCTTCTTTTGTTTATTTTAACAAAAACAAAGATTTTTTTTGAAAATTGCATTCACAAATTCTACAAAACAACACTATGACACAACGTTATTTATATTAGTTCATGATAATAATTTAAGTCCTTTAAAATAAACCTGAATAATTGATTTCTCGTATGGGCGTGTAGCTAATGCTGTGCATAGATCTTCCGGTTGTTCTATCCACAAATAATAATCAATACTGGCATCTTTTAATTTATTTGCCAAATTTTCCAGTTGTTCCGCATTCTCAACTCCTAAAACAATTTTATGCATTCTATTTAGTTCGTTTAGATATAACACTGTATCTGAATGTGTATAGTAAGTAGTAATGGCTGCTGTCGCGGCATGACAACCTTGTGCAATTAATGCACCTAATGGCCAATTTAACACCGTTGACAAATCACGACGTAATACAATATACTGAACTATAATCATTAAAACAATAAAATTTTTTTGAGTTGGATAGAGAAGAATCAGTGAAAGTTGGTTGAGTTCACAGGGTATAATAATTTAGCTGATAGTTCATTTTACACACAGAAATGTACCCTAAAAAATGATAGGAAAGAAAAAAACACAACTCAACAAATCTTATAGAAATTAATGGTTTGAAAAATTTCAAAGATTTGATTAAACTAAATAGTTGGACGGTACAACATGAATAACCTTTAGTTAGTATAGAATTTATAATTCAGAGAACATTAAATAATAATTCCAATGGAGCACTTAGGTAATTTTATCTGTTTGCCCTTTTCGATAAATTTAAACAATGTAAAAACAACAAAATTTGTAGAATAAAATGAACTAATTGTATTTCGAAGCCTTTTATTAACAACTATGAACAGTCTAAACTGAAAAGGAGCAGTATAATAATAAGCAAACGTACAGACTTTAGTAATTGAAACTGAAATGAATAGTTATAAAGGAACCGAAAACTATGATAAGTAACATATGTTATTAAACATAGTTGAAATTGACGCGTACATACGTTGCAGAACAGTTGTAGAGGTGATATTACGATTACTAATAATCAAAACAGGAATGATGAACGACTATACAATTAACACTAAAAACAAATTAATTTGTGACAATTAATAAGTATATCGCCTCTTGTAATTTCAGGTTGTTAGCAAATGGTGAGAAAACTCAAAATACAATAGATTTTTCTCTGCGAACTCTGTTCTTGCTTTGTTTAAATTTGTAAATATCTCTAAATCCTTAGGTTGTATTCATCTCATTTGGGGCACTACTGAAAACCGGGAAGCACTGGACAACTGCTCCATTCTAGTGTAGAATCGCTCAGCAATACGCACAAATACAGATTAAAAATCAAATCGACCTATAGGAAAATCCCCAAACTAATCCTAGTTTTTCTACTAAGAAGAATGTCCATGTAAAAATACAGTATAAGACAGAATTTAGTTCAAGAAAATCAATTAATATTGAAAGTCTATTAGTTTTCTAGAACAGTTGAGTGAAATGAATGCTCAGATACGATCTACACTTCAAACTGTCTCTTAAATTTCCAGACACCATTATTTATCTATTTGACCTTCCTCAGTTTTCACAGGGAATGTCTTGACTAGTAAATGTATAATCAAATTACTTGAAACGTATTCAATGGATAAATCATATCTCTGTTTTTCATATCGACTACCACCTCACTCACTAACTCGGAACTCAGTAGTTGAAGGACAATAAACACCAGATTTCGATGGTTTAAAAGGTTAAGCTCCTAAACCAACATTTGAGTTAATAAAACAAACAATGTTTCTTGATGTTATTCTAAGATAGTTGACTAAAATTGTTGGGTGGCTAATCCGGAGTCATTATCAGTAACAAAGCAACATATCTTAGTACAGAATAAATTTACAATTAAGTAATGTAAAAAGATAGGAAATAATTTGCTGTCTAGAGTCGACTAAGGATATGGTCTGTTCACTTAACAGGTAAATCACTGAATCGCTCTTTAAAAGAAAACAAATTAAAAATCAAAATTCCCATAGAATAGGTTCTATATCGAAAGACAGAGATACAAGGTCAGCATGGTATTTGAGGATTGATCTAATATTTACTGTCCAAATTAACTGACCAGTTAAGAGCTTTCAGTTTGTCTCTGCCGAAAATACATAAATGGATTTATCGAGAAAGAAGACACTTATCGGTTTTATGGTAGTATTGAAAACTGAAAAGCACTCTACATAGATTTTTATTGTTTTTGTAATAATAAGGATAACTACTCCAAAACCCATGAAAAAGCAATGACATCAATAGTCCTATAATTCTATCGGCAGAGTAGTAAATGTTAACAATATATCACAGATCAAGTCAATGCTATTCACTGTCTTTAAGGTTAAACTTTCTGAAACATTCTCCAGTCAATCCACATGGGATGATAAGACCGCTAGAACGAACACTCGAGAAGAGAATGACTAGAATTTAGTACCACTAGAGGTAGATCTGACTATAATCTTGGTGTAACAGCTATTGGTTTAAATGAGTTAATAAATCTCACAAGATCATTTGACTGCATAACATCTGAGTTATATATGGAATATGAAGATAAGGAATAAAACGAAATTTTCACATAATTGCAAGGAAGAATGGAACATGTAAATAGCAGTATTTATTTAAAGACAAATAAAATCAATCATAAGAGATAATCATATACGGAAAAGTGGTACATACTTCTTTAATGTCTTTTTATAGTAAGAATCACTATTTACAGCACAAATCACAGAAAACAGCTTTTTTTCCTAGAACATTCTATGCACAAGAATCAGAGTCAGAATCACTTAATTTTAAATCATGTTCAATCAGTTTACGATGGGCCGCTAAATTTGTTGCATTGGCCGTTTTCGTATTAGTTTTTCCATTTGAAGATGGTTTTGCTTTCGACGTTTTGTTTCTGTCATTTGATAAACTACTAAGAGTAGATGAATTTGAATCACTTTCTGAGGAGCTGTCACTATCACTCTCCGATGTTTCAATATCCATGTCACAACTACTACTAGAAGTACCACTATTACTACTACTACTGCTGCTACTGCTACTTAGCGTTCTCGAATGTGGAGGCTTTTTTTGAGTTGGCTGTTGTACTATAGAACTCGAAGTCGATATCTCGGGATCATTAGATTTTCTTTTGGTTGGAGATGGTCGAACAGATTTTAAATCTTGTTCTGAGCGGCTAGCCAAGGACTGGAACTGTGGCATTTCTGAGTTGGTCGGACAAGTGGTGTCAGCTTTTCGTTCTTCTCGGGTTTTCTTTAGCTGCACAGTATGTGCAATTCTCTCCAAGGTTAATTCATGGGTCTAAGGGAGTAACACAAAACATATCGGTGATAAGGAGGAAAACTAGTAGTCTGGTTAACACAAGTAAGAGAGAAAGGTATATCAAATACAAAACTAACATTTTAAGCAGAAAAGGTAATGATAAGCATCTCGAACTATCCAAAAGGAAAAGAAGAGATGTTTGAAAATAGTAAGGTTTATTATCGACGCGCAACATACGACAGTAATGATTTTCCAAATTGTATGGCATATGTCATGGATTGGGCTTTTTTTAGTAATTTACCCTTCAGACAATAGTTTGATGCAGTTAGGCAACAAACTATTATGTACAGAACCACGAATGTGAATGAATTGAACAAATAGTGCCAGTTGGATAAGACTATAGGGTGTAGAAAATGTATAGACAATTACCGACTCAATTTCCCTAAACACTGTAAAAAATACTGTGAAAATGTTACTAAATTTAACCAATCTTAATTTTTTTCAATTTTGCAACGAACAAGATGGGGATCATTGAGAGTAAGCTGGACAAAATTCATTTATTGCTCACTTGTTATAGATTCATTTAATAATAAAATATTTCTCATTAGTACTTAGTATTCGATAGTGTACCAGTTACACCAACTACATTGTGATCTTTTACACAAAATAACACATACAATGAAGTCCACAGAAATGACACAAAAACTAGAATCTCTTGTCTATTCAATTTCTGCGGAATAAGCGTGTTTCAGAGACTCATACCTTTCAAAGTCAATGACCGATAAACTACGGAATGTCAATTTTCTCTAAACAAACAACGGGAATTCAAAGTGTGTAACTACCGAGTGCATTGAAATGGAACAGTGGTATACAGGCCAAGACACGCTTAGTAACCTGAGTTGAAAGTTCGAACACCGTTTATCTCATGTCGATTTGAATACCTAAATAGTATGCTTTAAAGCTGGATGCATAAACATGAACATGGTGACTACGTTAAGTTTGATTGAATGGGATCTCAAAAAATTGAAATGATGCAGTAAGAGTTTACGTTAGTACAACTGGTGTAGAGTATCCAGAAAATCTTGAAGTTAAAAGCAAAGCTGGCTATTGTACATAAAACACGAAAAAGAACAGTTGGATAACTCAGCCATGCATTGGTTTATGAATAACATTTGGAAAACACGACCATTATTAGTCAACGAAATAATTCTGAAAATGTTTGTCAATCAGTGTTTAGAATCTGGTAAGATCTACGAGTGATCCTGAGGTGAAGCAGCAGACAACAACCAAAAACTACTTAATTATCTATTTATTTTTATTTATTTGACTACATAAACACCCAATACATATGAGCCACACAATAACACTGAGGCCAGTAGCAGTTATCACCAATTTGTGTGAAAGCTGGGATACTGCCCGGGTCACACCCCGAGCCTTTGGCACGAAGACCTAATCCAAAGGGCAGTAGAGCAACTTTAGGAGATGAAGTACTACGGTAGTCGGTAACCAACAATAAGTTCACACGCCATTCCCCCCTCAGTATTTTAGAGACTATGTGCACCACTGATTTGAAATCAGGGTTTTCCAACTCCCCTAGGTAAACCCTTCGTACCACCAACCCGGTTAAAGCACCGGATATTCGGTTTTTGTCTTGTCCATTTTGTAAACAACACCCCCTCTGCGAGAAGGCAATGGGTAGGACTCCCCTGGCAGTGGCTGTATACGTGAGAGCATTTCGAGAGGGAGAGCTAACTCCCCCACCCTCGACCGTATCAGGGCATTTGGCGAAAATAAACAGTGACAGTAATTATGTGGTGCACCTTTATCTTGGTTTAAAATACGTTAAACAATCAAATGTGAAAATCAAAGTTGTGTTCAAAATACTTTTAAGGGATTTGTAGAATCACCTTTTTATTGTAGATCAAAATACATTCTTTTTGAACAGGACGTGCAGTTCCACGAAACAAAGTTGCTGTATCTGGTCCAGAGTTTGTAACGTTGGGCAGGCTAACAACAACTTCTTTGCTCTCGTTTACTTTGATTGACCCAGGTTGTGAACGATCGACAGAAGCGGGCATGAAATCACAACGCATGGTCATGTAGGATGTTGAATCTCGATCTAGAAAACTTTTACCTAACTTCACGTCGAACGTCCCATTGAGTTGCATTTCGATTTCCGGTAACTAGTGTAATTGCAAACAGTGAAAAGATCACCTGTATGACGTCGTTAGAAGAGGAAAACGGTAACATGATAAGTCGTGCAGCGAATACGATCTATGATTTATTGGAATCAATTGTATGGAAACAACGCGCGATACAAATTTAGAATCATGTACAATTTGTAAAGCTTCACGAGAACGCTACCTGAGTCGACCGTGATTAACCATATTCTTATATAGACAGCATCACTTAACTACTCTAAAGAAATCAGAAAGTTATGTTCAGGTGTGGAAACTCCTAAAACTCGGACATTTAACGTAAGAGCCACAACAACCAACATGTGATGTCAGCATATAGTCAATCAATTCGTCTGAGCCATGCTGGCGGATGCAGCCTACCAATAGTTGCATGATTGTGTCGGCATTCCTACAAGTTGGAAGCTATATACACTTGTTTCTAAAGAGGAACAAACAAATTCCACAACATTTGAAGCAAACTGTAACAACTGTTATTATTTATCCTGCTCAATATATAGAACATTGTCAAAAACTCTGTTTATGGAGGATGGGATAGCCGACTTAAGTTCATACGGAGGGGTCACACAGTTATCTACACCTTAAAAATGAATCCATAATTGCGCAGGACTATGCAAAGTATGAATCGGGTTAAGTAATTTAGCATTTGCCTACCGTATCCATACTTATGTACTACCCAGCCTCATTTCTACATCGACTGAACAGTCATACGTTCAAGAAATATAGTCAACAGCTTTTAGTAAATAGACTTACATATTCAAAGTGTTGCCTCTTTTTAAACGCGGTCAGTTATTTTCAAAAACTATTGAAAGTATGGTTATACGACTCCATATACTAAGAACCACTAACCTACCTAAAACTAATCTCGGGAGTAACGTAATCATCCGAACAACCGGGAATTTTAGTGTGCACTTAAACAACATTGCATCATATCGTCATTTCGCAACTATTTCGTCGAAGAAGTAATCAAGAAATTTCGTTAAATAGTTGTATTTTTGTTGCAGTTACTTTATTATTGACAACCTTTTGGGTACAATTCGACAGGACCGCTACTTGAGTTTTTAGAATCGCTGTCCTGATGTCAGACCGGAAAGCGGAGTTAGAGCGAAAAAAAGCAAAGCTTCTTGCTATGCGAGAGGAAAAAAAGAAAAGAGAGGAAATAAAGAAAACTGGTATTTACGATGCTGAAGTCTCAGACATACGTCAAACGACTGAGGAATTATTAAAAGATCTTGGCTTACCTGAACCCGTAGTACCTCAGGCTAGTAACATACGTGAACTAGAATCACCGTCTCTTGATACGATTGATGGCGTGCTGTGAGTTTTTCTTATCAGTTTTTTGCCTATCGATCGGTGTATGCATTGTAAGGCGATCTGGTTTATTTACAGTATATATTTTCGATTTCTTTCACCTTTCATGGTTACATCAGTTGTGGAAAAATGATCCATCTGAACACCAGGGGACACATACGCCGTTAATAAATTAAGGTTATGGAAAGCTGAAGGCTTCTTTGTTAAACGTCTTTTTCCGAATGTACATATTAAAAGCTTTTTGTTAGTTATGCTAAAACGATTTGCGTCCAGTCGTCAGTGCTTCTTAATCTTTCGAAAACGTAGTTTGAAATTGGCTTGCAATACTGTTTACTGATATGTTCTGTTTTCACTGTTATTTTCGTTGCAAATAAGCTGCTAAACAGGCATGCGAAACCAGCATATAGTTTTTCTACAGATATTTAGTGTGGAAAATTTGTTTGTTTGACTAATGCCAAAAACGTTGTCCCATTTCTCATCTGTTTACTCCATGCTTTTATTAGCTCTGCTGTCAACTTCGGATACAAACAACTTTTTAATTCGTTAGTGTGAATATCTGCCACGCACATAAATGAAAAGATATTTTGGCAAACCCTAATTTAGGCAAGATAAACAAATAGTTTAACTATCACAAAATCACACTCAAGAAAACTTTCAGCTTCGCTTTTCCGCTAACTACAGTGAAATATCGCAAAGTGAATTTGCTCTGATGTCATGGATTGCAAGATGATGACAATTGTTTCCTTACTCAATACTCATGAATTTAGGATGATTTCATATGCCTTTTCCTTATTTCTGCCACACTTTATTGTTAGCCAACGTAATTCCAAGAAACGGAAAAATTTGCAAGTTTCTGATGTTTTTGAGATTGCGATTCCTCCTCCGGAAACCATAATTTATAGCAAAGAAACTCAGACTCTAGAAGAACCTCAAGAACGGGAAAGTAAGCAACCAATTTCTCAGTGTCAATTTTCTGTTATAGTTGTTTTCTGTTTACACATTCCCCCCATGATCGTTCCATACATAATATCTCCCTAAACTATATCCCATAGCTGTACTAAACAGCTCTTTATTACCAATCAATCCGTTTAAATTCCATATAACCACTCGCTACAATAATAAAATTCTATTGCATGTTATAAATTCCGGACAATCTCTACCAACGAAGTTAAGAAACATCATTAAAATCGCATAACTATGTCCTGTTGTATCTCTAAACTATGTTCAATCTACACTAGAAAGGAAATAGCCCGCAGTCAGGCATAAGTGTGGTTAGAATAATTTCAAACCTTGATTAAAATCAAATGATGTCAAGTTATTGACGTTCAAATACTTGGATAACAATAGAAACAAATGTTTATAGATGCAGATCAGATAATCCATGAATTTTTCGTAGAGTAACTAGGAACGGTGATCTAATAAAACAGTGACCTCACTGTTTACTATTTTCGAAGTGATGGGTTCCCATATCACTGTACCTATATTTGATCACTGTTAGTGACAGGTTTAGTCTTACAGAATAATGTGAGCGGTTCTCCAATAACACATTGTTCCTGATTACTACTCTCTGGAAATGACATAAATTCTCATAAACCTTTCACATATTGAATAAAGTTATGATACGTGGAAAAATTGATAGATTGATATTGAGACATTCTGTGGTAGTATATTCTATAAACTGTATTTGATTAGCAGGTCGTTCAACTGATTATTATGGTAAGTTAATTCTTGACTCCTTCCTTCAAACACTTCAATGTCGTACATTTATGTTTTGTTTCGGCAATTTCTATTCGCTTAATGCTTGCTAAAAAACAAGTTTTTTTCATTTTTTTCATAACATAAACACGATTTTTGTGCATAAACTGAAAAAAGCTAGACTTCTTTCACATGAAATCATGATAGTTATTTTTATTTATTATGGTTTTTGATTCCTTCCCAAACAACTTCGTCAAATGTCTTGTATGCCCAATCAAGTACTTTTTTATATACATGATCTTTTAGTGATGTGCTAGTATTGATTGATCACTATTTGTATGGAGCAAATAGTAGTGTTAAAATCATCATTGTAATTCTGTTGATGTATATTTCTTCATCATATAATTGTAAAACTTTTCAGCGAATTATGCTGCATCAGCATATAGCTAACACCGTGTATCGTTTCTTTTTGGCTCGATTAACTTGTCATAACTATGTATGTATGCATATGTGCATGTTTGTGTAAGAATGCGTGGGTCTCTCCATCTTGTTGCACATGCCGATTGTGAATTGAATCATCATTAACCGGAGATTATACATTCTTCATATAAACCCAACCTTCGCATCGTGTTCACTGACCTAAAACAAATACTCGGTGTACGTTTACGTACTTCATCATATTTGAGTACTTTGTTCCCAAATGGATCAATTTTATCACATTTGAGAATTTGTTTTTACTTAAAAGTATTAATGTTATATGTACTGTTTCCAATATCAAGAAACAAGTGTAAAACTTGTTTAGTTATCATTGGCCAATCTAATTATAAAAGCGTTTGTAACAACTGGCTTCCCCTAATATTGCTGTGTGAAAATTCTTTATTTTGAAGGTAGTTTTCAAAAAGCTACCAGCCTAAATCATAACTCCTCACAGGTGATGCACTTAGTAGTGGATTATTTGCGGTCCCAATGTGAGTCTATAGCATATAAAGTTAACTAAGTAGAAAGACGAATAATAACTTACCAATAGCTTTGCGTCAGTCAGTCAGTCAGCTACAATGTAGGATCAGGCAAATATATCAAATATATCATCTGCGTGTTATAAGTCGATAAGTGGACCTCCTGGAATGAGATCAATTCATGAAACTTCAGTCGACGAGAACGTTATTTGCATCAGTAGGTCTATGATGGAGTTAAACAAAAATGGAGAAAGTGGACAGCCTTGACGAACACCACTTGTGGTTGCAAAAGCAGATGACAGTCCTCCATAAGCTCTGACTCGACTAGTAGTGTTCGATTAAAGAGCCTTCACAAGGTTTATGTACTTCTGAGGTACTCCTTTCAATGACAGACACTGCCACAGAATCTCGCGGTGTACGGAGTCAAATACTGCTTTTAAGTCAAGAAAGACCACCGTTGTCGGACGCCGATAAGTATGCTTGTGTTCTAGAACCTGATGAATGATGAATATGTGGTCGATGCAACCACGACCAGGTCCGAAGCCAGTCTGATTTCCTCGTGTTTGCAGATCAAGAGTGTTTGCTAGGCGTCCGATAATTATTGAGATAATTATTTTAGATGCTGTATTAGTCAAACTAACCGCTCAGTGATTATCACATGTTGATCTTGATCATCAGCAATTGCGACCAGTCAGATGTGATTACATCTAGTTCCAAGGTTTTAGTTAGAATATTAGTCAACCAAATCGCTAAAACTGGACCACCATCTTTAAAGATCTTTGGAGCCAATCCATCTGGACCAACTGCGCTTCCTCTTTTCGGATAGGCTGTGGCTTTCTGAACTTCAATTGGAGTCTGGGGGCCTGTCTTAATGTTCCATCCGGCTGTTTGGGAATGGAGGGTATTTGTTGAGTGGCTGAAGGCCAGTTGAACCAATCCTTAAAGTGTTCCGCCCATCGTTTTAAACGTCTGGATAGGAAGCAGATAAGAGTGTCGTCTTTTCCCGAGATAGCTTCACTTACACTTGACTTATTAATCACAGTTTCTTTCGTTAGTCTGAAGAACTGTCTTGTGTTCCCTACAGCCGCCGCCTTTTCTACCTCTTTTGCTTTCGTTGCCCACCACTGCTCATGGTCGTTCTTTAGACTTTTGGTTAATCTACATCTGGTTTGTCCTCGCTCTTTATCGTGTTCAGAGCGTGATGGAATGAGTTTACGAGAATCTGTTAGTGTAATAAACTTAGCAGAAATCCACCGGTTGTTCGTGATTTTTTGGTTTAAATCACTGTTAAATGTCACTGCTGTTTCCATAGCTGCTTGTATATCTTTCCAATCAACATCTGGGTCAGCTTCGTTTTCAGAACTACCTAAGTGTGACCTCAGCTGTTCCTGGAATCTACTTCTGGTTTTCTCGTCACTGGGTTCAACTCTAATGGATCTTAATATGACAGGCATATGCCTACTCGTATTAGAGCATGATCAGAGTCTAAACATGTACCCAGAACGAGCGGCAGTCTTCTACCAAGCCTACTACCTATTGAAAAATGTCCCACTTTTATTCTGATTTATAAGGTGTCCAGCAATAAATGAATGCGTAATTTTGTCGTAAATATAATCTGTAGATTACATGAAATAACCACCTGTAGATGACTGATCGGTCACTGGGTAGCAACTAATATCATGTTTGTCTACACCTTTTAGTGCTGATAAGATTTTCTCGACTAAGTGCCGATGTTATCACTAGTTTAAATGACTAAAATTTGTGCACCACCTTGAGATGCTAGGCAATCGGAGTAGCCGACAGGAATCACTGGATCTAGACTTCGTGTTCTTTGGCACTTGTCTACAAGGCGTACCTGTTATCTTGAGAGACATGATACTCTTCGGTGAATTCGAATTATTTGTTTGTTTCCTATTGTAGTATTAGAACATTAAGTGGTCATCAAGTGTTCCAATCATAGAGTTACAGACCTTTCTATTATGTATTCTGTACTCATTTTCTTGAAGAGCAACTACAGTATGCAAAAAAGTTGAATCTCATTATGGGTTTTCTAAAACTATACAATTTACGTGGTTATTTCTACTTGAGCTTTGCGCATGAATCCGAAATATGAATGTTTAAAATGTAAACAATTGTAGCGACACGCAGAAAGTACAAAACGAATCAATAATGAACGAGAAATCATACAAAAAAAATCCCCACCTTTCAATTTTAAAGATGTGGTGTCCGTTAAGGCTGTCCACTTTCCCCATTTTTGTTTAACTACATCATAGATCTACTGATGGAAATAACTTTCTCGTCGACTGAGTTCTCGGGTATTGATCTCCATCCAGGAGGTCCACTTATCGATTTAGAATACGCAGATGACATAGTCCTGTTTGGTGAAGACACTGACAAAATGTAGAATCTTTTGATAGCACTGAGCAACAATGCCAGAATGTTTGGGATGCGCTTCTCTCCCTCGAAATGCAAGTTGTTGCTTCAGGACTGGTCTGCGTCAACACCTGAACTAAGGATAGGGAGTGAAGTAGTCAAACGCCCCGACAACTTCACTTATCTTGGAAGTCTGATCAGCCCTAATGGGTTGATGTCTGACGAAATCTCAGCACGGATTCGAAAAGCTCGTTTGGCTTTTGCCAACTTGCGTCACCTTTGGCGAAGGCGAGATATCCGTCTATCAATAAAAGGACGGGTATACTGCGCGGCAGTCCGTTCTGTTTTACTTTACGGTAGCGAAACATGGTCATTAAGAGTAGAAGACACTCGTAAGCTATTAGTATTTGACCACAGATGCGTCAGAAATATTGCTGGCATCTGCTGGGATCACCGGGTAAGTAATAGTGAGGTTAAACGCAGGGTATTAGTGAATGATGGTAAATCAGTTGATGAGGTTGTGAATCTTCATCGATTGAGATGGTTGGGCCACGTGTTAAGTATGCGCGAACACCGACTACCACGACGTGCAATGCTATCCGGTATTGGAGATGGTTGGAAGAAAGTTAGTGACGGCCAAACCAAAACGTGGCATCAGTGCTTGAAGACACTAACTTCTAGTCTGAGCGATGTTGGCAGATGCAGACTACTTGGTTGGGGTCCGCGTGACTTTCGTAACCAATGGTTGGGGACTTGGTGACATGGCTCAGAATCGATCACAATGGCGTCGGTGTATACACTCTGTCTTCCCTTAAACTAAGAGATTAAAATCACTTCATATCTTTCCTTCTACGAACCAATTCTTTCTTCTTGTACTATATCTCTATATGCAATCTTTCTCTTATATATTACCACCTTTGACCTAACCACTGCTGTGAATCCGGTGTTCATCTTGTTGTGCTGATGCAGTATGGCAACCTGGACCGATGCACATATGTGCCTGGTCCTACGTTGTAGCTGACTGACTGACTGACTGAATTTTAAAGATAGTATTAATAAAGAAAATGACGAAGGTAGCAGTAGATAAAATCTGTTGCAAGTAAACATACATAATCTGTTTAACTAATAAAATATGTAAACGGTATAAGCAAAGATGGATAGTGCTTTATATCACAAGCATTCTAAACCAAGTTGGATAGTGGTTAGCAGTGGAATCCAGGAGGTATGTGTAGTGAACAAGAACACCAGTGGGGAAAATCGAAGGTATTTGACGGAAAATTACAGAGCATCTCAATAAGATCTGAGAACCATATAGTAAATCGTTAATTTGCAAAATGTCGATCCATCACATCAAACTTGACTGTTCCTGTTGCAAACATCAATCTATTGTCTCAGATTTTATTGTTAATGCGTTTTCATACCAATTGCGTTCCGTTCTTGTTCCCGTTCTTTCCTCATCGACCTTCTACTGAAATACATTCTATTCCTGACCACCGTTATATAATAATTGTGTTGATATAAGTAACCCACACCACACTCGTCCCCCCTTTAAAGCATTCGTTCATGCGGTGGTTCTGCTCGCCATGCCACTATCTTCTTTCACTGCAGTCTGTGCCAAACTCTCCGTCAGAATGTCGAGTCTGCGGCGCGCTGACCTCCATAGCTCCGTCGACCTGCCGGGGCACCAACATCCGCATCCACCCGGCACCTGGGACGTTCAACGTCTGCGCTCCAGCGGCCTTCTGAGCCATCCTCACGTCCCACCGCTCCTCTCTGTCGACATCACCTACAGCCAACGCCGCCCCGTCAGAACGCTCCACTCGACTCCACCTCTCCGCACCAGACTGTACCAACCAGCACCTCAGCTCCAGGTCCGAAACGGCGTCCGCAGAACAGCACCCTTCCTCCTCCTGGTTGGCAGCGACACCAAATGTAGTGAACAGAACACGAGTGGGGACAATCGAATGTATTTGACACAAAATTACAGGACTTGTTAATAAAATCTAACAATCATATAGTAAATGCTTAATTTGCAAAATGTCCATCAATCGTCTCAAAATGACTCAGACTTCATTCTTCTTGCATTTTCGTACAAATTGAATTCTGTTTCGTTCTTTCTTTATCCATCTGCTGAAATACATTCTATTCCTGACCACCGTTATATAATACTTGTGTGGATATAAGTAACCCAAACCACAGTAGAACTAAATATGTAATTTTAATAATAATTAACCGAATCTTTAATTTAAAGCTCTGCTTGTCGTCCTCATTTAAAGTCATAAATCTCTCGTATTTTACGATTGAAATCTATTCCGTTATACTTACGAAAATTTCACTCATAACACTGTATTCATTGATATATGTGTAAAAAAAATTAACATTTCTTTCCATTTGCCACGTAGTCCTACATTTTATTCAATGTATTGAACAATCTCCATTAAATCCTAAATCGTTTGTACTGGCCTCTTTAAGCGTTTTCATGTGTATATATATAATCGCTATATTGTTTTGTAGATGTGTAGTACTCAATGAATATTACTGTGTTTATTCCTGTGTATATACGCATACGAGTACAAATGATTTTTTCTCTTAGCTTATTCAATAACTTACCATAAAATATATTACGTTTGATTACTTGTAAATTACACAGTTGGAGTTGTTTTTCTTTTCTCTTTCTGTTTTAAGGACATGTTGCCTTGGTTCTTTATTTATGGTTCATTGAATGCAGATTATTTTAATTTTTTTCTAATTAATTACACACAATTCAGTAGAATATCTATGCATGTCTTAAATCTAATACATTGTGTATTATTTTCGCTTTCAGAGTGTACTTGCATGTGTTTTTAAAAAATATTATTATATCTCATATCTACCTATACCTTTTATTGTGTGAACTTCTTAAAACAAAACAAATTGCAGTGTGTTGTTAAATAATTTTGTTTCTATTATCTATGAAATGTTTATAAGTGGCCTTTGTTGCTTTAAGTTGTCGATTGAAGTAATTAAAACATGTATGTATACTGAACAAAGGAGAGTATATGTGGATAGTAAAGTCTACATGTGGAACAGTTGAATTTGAGAACTAATATACATCAAATAATAAAATGTGTCACTGCTGCTGATTTTGAGCCATATCACTTAAGTACTTACTTAGATATAGAAAACGTAGTCGACCTTTGGCTACTTATATTAATTTTGTCATTAGGGTGGTTGTGAACCTTCAGTGACTCAGGTATTTAGGACACATACTATATATGTCAAGTCATCCCTACCTCGACGCGTGATGTTGGATGGGATGGGTTAATCAGATTCTTGATATAAGCAAAATGCTAAATGTAATATCAATGTAAGTCAACACTGAATCAGTAATCCATACTCCTTATTCTTCAAAGAAATCCATCCCAAACATCTATGCTTAGCATCCAAGGTTTTAAAGTCTCCCTATTCTATCAACATCAAATAAAACTGCCACCTGTATACTTACGAACAATAAAGGTTTTTAGATTAGATGAAAGTTTCACCATATTTGAAATACGGTCCACTGTTATCATCTGCCACTACTCAATATCAGTGTACAATTTTTTTATCAATCTACACCTAACTAGCTTTCGCTTATTATCATATTCCAAGCTGCATAACATAAAGTCGTGATCCTCTGTTAGTTCATCTAAAGCTTTCAAGTTTCACTAATTATTCGCTGATGTTTATTTCACTTTATTAGTAGTGTTTATAGTTTGCTATTGAATCGTTGTCTTACTGATATTGAACTAAATTTTATCTACAAAATAACGTTTTAATAAAAATTTTATTAACCATAATATTCATATTACACTAATGTTAGTGTAGTTCCATATTTTATCATGTTCAATGGTAAAATACAAGTCTTTTTTATTGTGTGATATACTTTATCATACAAAGTTATATTTCAAGTTATCAGTTACTTACCTACTTACTCCTGTTACTCCTTGTGAAGGAGCATAAGCCGCTCACCAGCATTCTCCATCCAACCCTATCCTGGTCTTAATGTGACCTATAATTTGTTTGTATCATATTTCACTAAGTTCAAAAAGAACAATTTTATTTCTGTGATAAAATGTAGTAAGTTCAATATATTTTCTTATCTCTTTTCAAGATTTATTTAATTTACTTGTCCAATGATTTGTTCAAGTATTCTTTTAAATCGTTGTTTTTCTTATCAATGTTCATATTTAAAATGAAACAAATTTTGTGAAAACTGTATCTTTTTCTAACTAAATTGAAGAAAATTATTGCTTATATTTTTATTGTATAATTATTAAACTCTTGGATCGTTTTTTTACTCAAATTTTTCTGTGTGGTATATAAACTATTGCTGTATATTTCGTCTTCCTTATTTATTAATTACGTACTTGTTAATCAGTTTCTCTTTCACTTAAAACGTAGTTATGCACACATTGTAATTCCCTATTAATGTTGTTGTATGGTCTGGAATTCACTGTACATTATTGTATGAGTTTGAATTGTAAAGAAATTATCTGCTCTCTATGCTCTTTTATTACACTGAATGCTGAGGAAGCTACGTCGAGGACACCAACTAGGATTCGCATTATCTCGGTCATAGGAAAAGCTTAACTCTTATCAGTCATAGCTTGTGTGTGCTCAGATCACAATAGAAGTTTGGTTTATAGAGAATTGTAGTTTACATTCTGGTTGGTAAACCTTGTCAAGTGATACTGACTAAACACGATCGTGACAGCTTACTAAATGTTATTATTTTAGTGCCGCTTTACATTTTTACTTATATATATCACTTGAGTGTATACCTTACCCCTCTAATGAATACTGAAAATATTTCGCTTAATATACTAGTGAATGATATTATACAGCATGTTTGTTCTCAACGTGTGCAAGATTTCATCATTATATTACATTAGTTTTTGTATGTTGTATGGAACAATGCTTCTTCTTTTTCACAGTATTAACATACGATGAAGGTAATCGTGATGAAGTGGATGCCAATGCTGCGTTAGCGGAACTGGAAAAGATGCCTCATATCGGTGTCACTAAAACTGGACAATCTCGTGGAATATTAGATAAAATTGATGGAATACGGACAAGTACTGATGGTGTTGACGAGAATACCTCAAATGATATTCAACGTAATGATAGTACGTAATTTACATTAAAATTAAGCAATATTATAAAAAGGCCTTTGTAATTTCCACTATTTTTCTGTTCACAGTGTTTTCATTGAGTTTCTTATTTCCACAAACTGTATCATATATCGTTGCTTTTCACATTTAATTCCTTTTGTGCTAATATCAAATGACTATAGAGTGTTGATTCTATGCCCTCGTTGATATCAGATTTGTCTTCAGTGTATATTCACATAAACAGGTTACAGATTGTGGATTGGCTCACTAGATGTAACGTACTCTTTAAGAAATTCATATTAATTTCCAATATCATAGAACATCGTATCGGTAGAATCCTAAGCAACATCCAAGCGATCCGTCTCATCTGAACGAAATTCTTTGTCGATATTTCAATATAATTCAATAATAATATTTATATTATTAGTTTCTACTTAATGTATTTTCTTTTTAGAATAGTTCATGGTCTAGTTTCCCCCCTACTAATTCTCACGTTAAATAACACCCATCTGGAAGCCTATCTGCGGTAGTTAATTGTTGATGTCTATGCAACATTCCAAATTATTTTAACTAACCACCGGTTACGGTGGCTATGGACAACTTTATTTCGTATGGTCCCACTATTTGTAATTGATTTGCTAATGGAACCATTAACATCCGCGATTCAATATTTTTGTTATCAAGGTGTTCGAAATCAATCACCTCCAGATAAATTCCTGAAGTTTATGAAATTGTGCATCATTTTGTTTCATAATGTCTTTTGTCATTAATACTTGGATCGATCCAAACTTTATACATATATAATGAGAACTGTTATGTCGAATAAACTTATGTTACAGCTTTTCTATGAAGTTAATTTTCTTATGTAGTACAGTAGGAGTCCTTATAGTCCAATTTATTTCAACTTGAGGTTTTCAACTGAATTAGGTAAGGCGATATAACAATACGTGAATTTCCGTGTAGTCATTTTGCACATGACTGACTTATGCAATCGCTGATGTATACCAAACTTACAAAACATGTTATTCACTTTCGATAGTTATTTAGTATTTTTTTGTTTATTATTTCTGCTCTCCCTAGTGAAAATAGACTGATTTCATTGTAAGTAGTATGGTTTGTAAATATACTGAGATGGGAATTTAGTATTTAGTAGTACAGTAGATTTATTACCTTAAAATGTTGAAATCTCACTTCTCTAAAATTAATAATCATATATATGAAATTTCTTATCTATTCACCTATAGGACTGAATCAAGTTTGTGAATTGATCATAGACGAAGTAAACATTTTTAAGAGATGCAAAAATTATCATTAGATCGATAAAATACCTCATAATCCTTTAATATCTTTGCAAATAACTATCTGAGCTCTTCTTTACTACTACTACTACTGTGAATTTTAGGATGCTGTCAATCATATTACTCTTTTGTCAGCTGATCTAAATCAAAGTGAATTTAGTCATTGATGTTTATGTAAACTACAATGATGTGTTTCCTATATATCGGTTATCTGATTTAGTTTGTTGTTTTGTGAAAGTTAAGTCATCTTTGTGTACAACTTAGTATACAGCTTCAATTGTGTTTGGCATTTTGTCTAATATTTTTTTATCGTTCTATCCATTATGTTATATATTTAAAATAATTAGTCCCTTTGATAAATTTCGATAATGCAATGAGAAGACGTAGTTTATCAGAATTATGTGAGTTTCATTTCACTAATTTTATTGACCTTGGTTTATCGTGTCTTTGCTAGTTATCCTAATGTCAGAGGAGGAAAAAGCTCAATTATTATCATCCGATGCTTTTCTACGCTTTTTTGAACGTTCTTCACGTATAATTGAACGAGCGATTTGTCATCCAGATGAAGGTATCTTTTTGGATTATTCCGGTCAAGATCTTGAAACTGAAGAGTGAGTATTTTTAATCATTTATGTTCGTTATCCTTACTTACTTAAGTCTGTTACCTCTCATGGAAGAGCATAGGTCACCCACCAGGATTCTCCATCAAACTCTGTCCTCGGAAGTCCTTTCAAGTTGCTATTCCATTCTCTTGATGCCTGCTTCTAATTCTCGACGCAATGCGCTCTTTGGTCTTCCTCTTTACTTTTACCATTCAGGACTCCAAGTTAATGCTTGCCTCGTGATGCAGTCTGGTGATTCCCAAAATGTATATCCTATCCACCTCCATCGTCTTTTATCTAGTTTCCTCTTCAGCTGGACTTTGGTTCGTTCTTTGATACGGTAGATTGTTGCTGATAGTATCCGGTCAACAGGTATGGAGTATCTTGCTTAGACAACTGTGCAGAAATACTTGTGCTTTTCTGACGGTGGGTGTGATGGTTCTCCAAGTTTCAGCTCCGTACAATAGGACTGTCTTGATGTTCGTATTGAAGATTCCAACTTTGATGTTGATTGACAGTTGTTTTGAGTTCCATATGTTCTTCGACAGTAGGAACCTTGTCCTTGCTTTTCCGATCCCTTCCCTTACGTCTTCATCGGATCCTCCTTGTTCATCGATGATGCCGGCCACGTAGGTACGTGAAAGACTCCACCTCTCCCACAGTTTCTCCATCAAGTGTGATTGGGTTGGTGTTCTCCATGTTGTAGTTGAGGATCTTGGTTTTTCCCTTGTGTATGTTGAGGCGTGCTGCTGCAGAGGCTTCTTCTACACCTGTTGTCTTTGCCTGCATTTATTGCTGTGTATGGGATAGCACAACTAAGTCATATGTTATGTCCAAATCGTTTAGTTGTATCCAATCTGTCCATTGTATTCCATGCTCCTCCTGAGATGTGGAGGTCTTCATAATCTAGTCAACCACCAGACGAAAGGGAAACGGTGGGAGTAAACAGCCTTGTCTGACACCGTTTCACACTTAGTATGCATCTGTCCTCCATGCACGACTTTGCATTGTAGTTCATTGTATGAATGTTGACATTCTTCTTCGATACATCATAGTGTCGAAGAAGGTCCCATTAGGTTTTCCTATCCACGCTGTAACACGCTTTTTCACAATCAAGGAAGTTGATGTATAGTATCGAGTTTCATTCAATTGACCGTGGAAGTGAACAAGATCGTATCTTTTATTCTAAGTAAAGCGTTTCTTAGAGTGTTAGTTGTATTGTAGAAGGCCTTAATTTAGCATGTTTCCCATGTATGTTGTAATTCTTCTGTCGTACCTTAGCGGTAAGGTAAAACCACAGTACCAATCCAAAACGAGTTGCAAAGAGGATGAAACGTGCGTTTTGGATTCCACTGCTAGCCACTAGCCCTCTCTGCTTATAATGCTTGTGACCCGAGGCAATACGCGTAGTATGCACATATGCCAATAAGAGACTGATCAATTTCAGTCCTAAACGTCAATGAGGACATTCAGAAAACCAATACAAAAATAAATTTAACGACCTTAGTTTGCAGATCAGTCAGTAGTAACTCGCTGTACGGCTGTTCCTATTACACCTGGCTATATCAAGAAAAGTCATTTTACAGACTTATCCAACTTCCTACCACCTTCAGAGTATACATTTGATACATAGTTTTTCAAACAATCCATTTCTGCACAGACGCACATGATCAGTAACTAGTGCTTTATCATTGTCTTGAAATAACTGATCGTCTAATTATATCTTTTAACAACATGATACAATTATGTCTGTTTTTTTGTTTAAAGTTCGGTAACCTCGAAGTTAGGTGTTAGTTCTTATTGTTTTCTCTCCATTTTTTGATGAAACTTGTAACATTCAATTGGTAATAATTCCCGGACTCAACTCTAGGATGCATGTACATCGTGCTGATAAGTCCCAAATAGGACGAAATGCTCTTCTTGGATTTGGTCGCTAGCCACATTCCATCCATTCACTTTTTATGGTTTCTTGTTCTGTGTGTTTTAGGCATATGGTGCCTGACAAAGGTTATGAATCAGTTAGTGAGTTAGTGAATATCTTCACCAATTGAGGTGTTTAGGATATGTGTTGCCCATGCTTAACCAGTGGCTACTTCGACAATCGAGGCTTTACTTATTGGTTTTCTTTGGAATCAACGTCCTACGTGTACAGCAGTGCAGAAATACAGTAGAATCTTTTCAATCCGTTTGTGTCTCAGTATCGTTTTGTTATTGATTGAAATCAGATTTTAATTCTTATATACTTATTTATCGCTTTTTCTTGTTTTAGGTCTGATGAATTGCTAACTGTATCGAATGAATTTTTTGATGAAAGATGGTCTAAACATCGTACAATCACTGGTTTAGATTGGTCAACTATATTTCCAGAATTATTACTTACAGCATATCATATGAATGAAGAAGCTGTTCATGAACCTGAAGGTGTTTGCTTAATGTGGAATATGAAATATCCAAAGAAATTAACACCGGAATTTACATTTCATTGTCAATCCCCAGTTACATCGGCTAGTTTATCACGTTTCCATCCAAACATTGTAGTTGGTGGTACTTATTCTGGACAGATTGTCTTATGGGATAGTCGGTAGGTTAACTAATTTTTTCTAAAAAGATACTTTAACTTAATGAAATCTTAAAAATCATGTACAGACGGGTAGTTCAGTGGTTAATGTATCCGAAATTCAACCATTAAGTCTCAAGTTTAAATGGTGTTCTACCTATTTTAGTTCAATTCAACTTATAGTATCGTGCTAGCCGTCACACTTAAAATGTAACTCAAATACAGGTACACGAATATGTTTCTGGTAATGAGTTGATAAAAGGAAAAAAACCTCTATACTACCTAACAAACCATTGAAAAAATACAGAATGTTAATGTAAAACATGTAACTAAAGCGTGAGATTGTTGTTTATAAGACTAACCTAACATTTTCTTTCCAGTTATTAGGTCAAGAAAAGTAATTTAATGTGACTAGATCAATGAGATTTGTTCTAAAATGTCGTATGTCATCTGTAACTGTCTATCATCTCCAATGTTGTTTATAATTATTTATCAAGTTTAAATTCTTACACCACTTAGTTCAGTAGTCTGGTATTCATTGCACTGGCTATGTTTTATTCCATTGTACTTGTTTTACTCCCAAAGTTGCTTTTGATTTATCATTCTTAGTACTCTTACAACGTGTCTCGAACAAATGTCCTAGACTTCATTTCACTCTTCCTTAAACTCATCCTTGCTTAACATACTCAGGTTAATGCGATTACCTCTGTTGACATTTCAATAATGCTCCCAAGAATATGCACTTCACACAATTATAAATATACCCCAGAAGAGGCTAATTTTACATTAGTTTTCTGGAGAAGCATACACCACTCATGCTTTTACATTACGCCTGGGTAAGATCACTAGTCATCACACATAAAGTAACTCGAAGCCGATTGCATGAACCAGTATTTGGTTGTATAAGTTACTTCGTCACATTTATAAACGAGTTTTCTCTCTCTCGAATTATAGAGTCAATAAACGAACACCAGTTCAGCGTAGTCCATTAACATCATGGGCTCATACCCATCCAGTATTTGCAATTACACTAATTGGTACTCAGAATGCCCACAATATTATTAGTTTAGGATCAGATGGCTCATTGTGTGCATGGAGTTTAGAAATGTTAGCACAACCACGAGAGAAAAGTAAAGTTTGTGAAATGTCTTCTGGTGGTCTGTTCGATCTTTATCCTACATGTATGTCATTTTTTGCTAATGATGTGAATAATTACGCTGTTGGTGCTGAAAATGGTAATGCTTATTGTGGACAACGGCATAGCAGGTAATAATAAATTAGTATTTATTTATTTATCTTTTTAAATTTAATAATAAGTTTCACTGTCCAAGCACATCATAATTGTCTACGAGTGTTTGAATTATCGTACTTTAAATATTCAGGACTGAATTCCTGTATCCATCCAGTAATCACAATCCATCTATTCCAGAGAGCTTGTGCAAATATATTTTTTGAGACAGTACACACAAGATGCACGTATGTCAATAATGACAGATCAGAATTCAGCCCTGAACATTAACAGTGGGATCATTCAAACCCTTATTAAATGTGTGGTGCATATATATTTGGTGCCCTGTTGTACCAATATTTATGTGCTCAAATAAAAATAAACCCAATGCTCAATTTTTTGGAAATTATCAAGTCAAACCTAGGTAATGATACCTACAAATAATGTTAATATCATACCCATTACAAATGCTATATTACACTGACGTATCTTCAAAGTAACTTTCAACTCAACTCTTTCAGATAATTAATTTCCACCAATTTTGCATCTGATAAGAAGCGAAAGAAATAAGATGAATTCATGGTATTCTGCTCCACTCTTTGTTCTTGTTCTGTTCAACAAGATAGAGCGAACTATGTGTATTAACTAATATAGAAGGTTATAAGGTTGACTAGATGACGTGGAGGATTAATTAATTTATGTACGATGCGATATTGGACTAATTGGTATGTTAAAGCGGTACCTCATTGTTTAAGGTTTTTAACTGTCAGTTTAAGTTGCATGTTTGAACTCCGGTCTATCTACTTTAGTTTGAGCAGCCGAGTGGTATCACTAGAATATAGTTATACTAATATTTACTTGGAAAATAAGTTAATCGGTAAAATTGATTTGTCAGTATATGGTTGTGGAGATTGTTGGGTTTCACTGAGACCACAAACCGATCGATGTTAGACCACCATTGGGAAGCTGAGAGTACTGGACTGCCGTTTCGTGTATCTATGATCCCGCACGCAGGATTTGAACCCAGGATGTCAGTTGGTGATCTAGAGATTAATCGTTCTCACATGAGACCGAAGGTCCTGGGTTCGAGCTCCTCGTGGGAGTCGTGGATGCGCCCTGCTGAGTAGTCCGATACTACGACGAAACGGCCGTCCGGTGCTTTCATTTTTCCAGTGACGATCTAATATTAATCGGTTCATGATCTCGATAAAAATTGATATACATGAATGCAATTAATATAACAGAAAGGTTTGGTAGTTAAAAGTTTCTTTTATGCATAACATGTTTGAAAATTATTAGTTGATATCTGAGTGATAAATAACATCAGTAGTAGTTACAAAGTGTCAACAAATTAGTTACAGTTATTTGCAATAGTATTAATATATTTGTTATTTATCTTGTCTTGAACAGTAGATATTTCATTTCAATAATCACTATTGTTATACCGTTTTCTTTGATGTTAAAAATCCTGTTTTATTCTGATTTCTTATTCATTCATTCATCCATTTATTGTTTATGGTTTATTATCTCACACTTTATGCACAGAATGCAGACAATCTACTTATCACACTAATTGAAAAATAAGTTCTTAATTGTAATTGTACTTTCAAATGAATTTATACTTATTTCCTTACACCTGTTACCCCTCGTGGGGGAACATAGGCCGATCACAAGCATTCTCTATCGAACTTTGTCCTAGACTATCCTCTTCAGTTGTTTCCAGTTGCTACTTCTAAATAAATTTATAACTAATTAACTACGTCATTTAACAATAGTGTTTGTTATATATGATTGTTAACTGGTGAACGGAACTTACGGATTATCTGTTTAAATTGTCATTTTAGTGAATAGAATTTATCATAGTGGTTAACTAAATCAATATACCTAATCACATTAATTACTGTCTAATTTTCAATATTCAGCTCATCTGTACATTTCTAAATTTGTATAAGCGCCTGTTTATTTCGTTTGATGTTCAATTCAAACATCTGATATGTAGTGTATACAGACAGACCTCTGTTATATTGCAGATAGACAAATAGACTCAGCATAGACAGTCGAGGTGTATCTACCTTCTTTTACTTACATAGTTTCCATGATACATATTAAAATTCTTTTAGAATATAAATTCTAAGGATTTCAGGGTTTTTCATTGTTGAATTTTACCTGTTGTTAAAGTATCTACAAGGTAAACATGCATCGTAGAAGTTTAGTTTAGACGTGTAAATTAACAAGTTTAAGTAAGAAGCTTAGTTTATTAAATTCATTATTGACTTTAATGAGTTGTATTACATATTTTTTAAAAAAAAATATAATTAAACTAATAAAACTTATGAATTCTCTTTAGTCGTACGGGTGTTGCTGAAGAAACTTCACGTCATGTTCCATATAAAGGACATGGTGCACCTCTTACAGCCATCTCTACTCATCCAAGTCCTGGTGCTTTTAGTTTTTCATCGCTGTTTCTTACTGCATCATTAGATTGGACTGTACGTTTATGGCCTACACGTGAACATAAACCTATACATACATTTGATGATTATTCGGATTATGTATATGATGTATGCTGGAGTCCTATACATCCGGCTGTATTTTCCGCTGTTGATGGTACTGGAAATTTAGATATATGGGATATGAATCAAGATGCTGAAGTAATTATTATTATTATTACTATTATTATTATTATTATTCGTTTCTTGAAACTTGTGTATTACTGTTGTTATTTTAATAGTGATAATTTTAATTTCACTGTTGAAAATAGCTTGTATGTATTGTATTAACTTTAGTTGATTGGTTTAGGTGAAGATCATTTATACGGAACGTTTGATTGAACCGTCATCCCTTCTACTAATCAGTATGTTTTGAAAAGATTTAACTATTGAATTATAAGCTAACATTTCATTCTACTTGTGAAGAATTTGACATAATCATGTACTTCTGTCAATTGTTTGATGCATTTGGCTTCGAATCATTTCGTATTCTATCTACTTCGGTTTGAACAGTCGAACGATATTATTAGCTTTTGTACAAATGTTAAAGTTGGATTTTTCTATTTCTGGAGATCAATGTCTATACATTTCGCAAGCTGTTATAACGGAACGAATATTAGTGAAGCAGTTTTATATTGAGAACTGTTTTGCGGATTATTAACCCGTACATATGTTCATCAATCGCACTTGTGAATATTTTACTTCATTTCAGCCACAACTTTCGGGGATTATGTTCGGAAGATCCTTCAGTTCCTTCTATGTATTTGCTTCTACAGGTATATTTAATTTCTTAAATATATGTACAGGTGACCTTAGAAGGGTATCGGCTCACTTTTGATTGATTTATGGAACATTTCTTGTTATGCACCAAGAGTAGTTAGGCTGCAAGGAAGCTTCTCTTTGACCCTGCTTTAATCCTTCTGTCAATCCTGCCTGAAATCTTCCCACCTTTGAATGCGAGACGGATGTAGACAGGTTTTCTGTTAACAGTTGTGTTTGGAAACTTCCTGTAATAATTTTTTCTTGACCTTACATTGTCACTAGTAAGTGTTTGTAAATTGAGTTACAGAAATTTAGAACTGAGTTTTCAAATACTTCGCTTTACCTGTATTCGTTTTGTTTCATTGCTTTGACTTATTTACTTCATTTCAGATTCCTGTGGCTCGTCGCAAATTAGGATTATCAAGCAATGTAGACACATCTTCATCGTCATCATCTGGTCTAGTTGGTGTTGCTTTAAATAAATGCCGTTGGAATATTGCAGGCACACATGTAGCTGTTGGAGATGATACCGGTCGTGTTACTGTTTGTAATGTTCACGAAAGTCTTTCTCAACCTGCCACTGATGATTGGTCTAGTTTCGCACATGTATTATCTGATCTTAAACACTATGAAATGGAGCCAGAAGTAGAAACAGAAGCATAATCTTGGTTTAAGGCCTGATTTTCTCTATTTTTTTTGTATTTCTGTGAATCATACATACCTCTTCTATGTAACACCAATCAGCTTCAATCTTATTTTAGGTTGTTTTGAGAACTGAAGTTGCATTTGTAAGTTGACATTAACATATTTGGTTTTCATGACAATTGATAAAGTACTTTAATATAGGGGTTCCGTTTAAAAAATATCTTTAAAAGGCTGTGTTGGGTTTCTTTCTTTTTTTTTTAGAAAAAGCTTCTATGACTTGTATTTTGTTTTATTTTGGTCCTATCTAATTATGTAAGTAGTTTAAGATGACAGTGTGCAATGGAGTTCTCAATTTCTTCACTTTTATTCAAATTTTTGTTATTTGTGATAATGCTCTTAAATTTCATAATATTTTGTCTAACTCGGTTACTTTTGATGCTTCCTTATAATTATCATAAATAATACTGAGTAATAAAAGTCGTCTTTAGTTTTCATTCTAGTCTGATATTTTTATTAGATGATTTGTAAATATCTCGTAAAGGTCGTAATTTGTTCAGTAATCTTTTTCCATTTTAGATTTGATAAACTATCACTGGGGGTATTGCAAGAGCATCAAAATAGAGCTGAGAGTATAATCAGAACTTAGTTGGATTGTAGGACATTATTTCAGTTGTGGTTAGCATTCGGTTCTCGACTGCAGTTGTTAGAAATCACTATTACTTTTATGTCTGTCGCAACCTACATTTTGACTTTCCTTTTATCACTCGGTGTTTATACATATATAGTGTTCCGTCTGTCTTTAATACGTGTGTGTAGCCGGACTATGAATTTGTGTACGAATATATAGACATAACCTGGTGCTACCAGAGCTTTGTTATAGTCACATTGTGCCTTTTTCTTTAGACAGATCCAGTGGCATCCAAATAAATTTTCACTTAGCTAGTAGATAAGGAAACTCCGCCTGGAGCCCCTCTGGAGCTACTGCCGGTTCCAAATCCGGGTAAAGGAGGTGAGTTGGGCATGGAGTTACCGACCTCATTCCGTAGAAAACTAACTCGCTAAAATTAATTTAGGTACACGGAATGCTCGTACAATATATAAGGAGGTAGAAAATACATATTGTTAAGTAATATAGGTCTTAAGCAATTCGCACTCGGTGATAACGAAATACAAGGTGATATAATTTGATGAATGCTTGGGATTCATTTAATTATGTGTTCTGGAGTCAATGTTTATATCCTTTCAAAGCACTCAAATTATGGAATCGCATCATATGGTGATATGATGGAAAGGAAAGTCAATTTTCGATTGATTTACTTATTATGAGTTTTGTTCAAGACTACTTCTGTTTTGATTCAATGTAATGATTACTCAATGTAGTATTCGGCTTTGTTTTCTCGTATGATATTTTATTCTGTATAATAAACGATATTCTTGTATTCCATTGACATGAACTATGCTCAGTATGTGATTTCTTATAACTTTATGTATTTTTCATATATGTGAATTACATTCTAATTATTAATCAAAGTGGGTGAACAATCAATATATAAATGAGTGTATTTTCGGCTAGAGTCGTCGTCGTCGTGTTTTGGGGCTAATAAATCTTCACTTATGCCAGTCTTGTGTTCTTACTTTCGCATCCTGGGAATTGTCGATGTTCCTCGTTCCGAGTATAAGTGATCAGCGCTTTTTCCGGCACAATAATGGTAATTTGTATCTATAATGGTCTATTTTTTAGTACTATACCTACAGGCCTGATCAGAGTTATCCTGGAAGCATCTTACAAGTCTGCTTTTTTTGTAGCCGGTTGGAAATGGGATCATAGTAAAAAAGCCTAATATGAAATATACAAGGATTGCTTATCGAACTTCTTGTTACTTTGTTCAGATAAAACATTGTGGATTATCAAGCAAATCATTGATCTATGGGCTATAAATTTCTAATTTTTTCCAGGTATTAATTCTAGATCCTCCTACTTCACATATCTTATATTTGCTTTATAGTTTAACTGCTAGATCATTTGATCCACAATGACGGTTATTTTTTTAAGATTGTCTCATTATTGTACATCTCATAATTAGGATTGATTCATGTGTGATTTTGTGCCTACGCGTATCTTTGCATATCGATTATCTTAATGATTGTTTATTCGAATTATTAGCAAGAGCATTTAGAGATTTACGTTTGTTTATGGTTAGCAGTTGTCAAGTTCACGCTGTTACAATTTGTTTATTGTTATTGTCTTCCTGATCAATGGTACGCGTGAAATATACCCATCTTCAACACTAGCAACATTCGACTTCCAATTTATCCTTATTAACACTATGTAACAACAAGACGAAGATCAATGCTTCGTTGTTATCATAGCTTTCAACGGAATCAGAAGGCTCACTATAGGGTAGTACAAACAGCTGAAGATTCCGTATGCCAAAGTCCTATGCGAAAGTTCAGGGCGGATAAAATATCCCCCTATGAGCAGCAAATATTTTTCTTTGCAGGATTCAGCTCAGTCAATAATACACGTTCTTTCAGCCGAATAAAAATAAGTAATATTTATTGATCATCCACTTGGAGGCCAGATTAATAGATATTATAGTGGACCCGCAAAATAAATTATTCAATATGCAAAACAAATAATAGTATGCCAACACAAATATTGAATGGGCCCATTTAAATAAGAATTTGATGGAAAAAAACTTAAAAAGTCATGTTAAATGATAAAATAGTAACAATAGTTAGGGAATGAATGCTACGTGTAAGCTCACTCATGGGTAATCACCTCGATTAGATTACAGTTCATTGTCAAATGTTTCTTGAGCACGTTTGGCGTTTACGACGTGAAGTGAAATGTGAATTCAATAGGGTTATTAGGAAATTATTCAGGTCAACAATCTCACGTAATGAAGGGTGACTCAAATGAATACTACAAGACAATCACGACACAGGATATAGGCTTTTTTAGGACTGAAATCACCTATTCGTTGTATCGACCTTGACCGGCTTGCCTCAAGGTGATCATTTCATCCGGTGCACATCAGGTCAGTGGCCTGCATGTAAGCTAGCTTAAGTTAATAGCACACTTGTCTTCAGAAGTCCAGCATATTTCAAAAAGCACCAAATGACATGCAATCATGTGTATCATATGTTTTTGTTTAGCTTTCAGTCAAAAAAACCATGTTCCGCTGTTTATTTGTCAGCCTATGACTAGCAAAGAGAGGTTCGTTTAATTCACCCTTTCGTCACTACCCTAAATTCTCTCCATCTACTAAACAGCAATACAGAGTCAAGTACTTCTGACAGTATTTCGGCTGACCTAATCGATGCTTCTTGTAGATAATCCTATCTCAAAAGTTCCTAACATGGAGTGCATTAGAAAATGCCTTAAAATTTTTAAACGTGTGTGGATAGCATAATTGCTAAGTGCTGATAACATATTCTCACTACGTTCACGTACAAATTAAAAAGATCTCTATCGATTGGCGTAAATATTTATTTATTGTCCTCAGGTGCACGTCGCGTGTGAATAGAAAACTCTAAGAAACTGCTATTTTTAATAAACTGTAAGACTGACAAATTATAGTTAACAGCGCATGTTTCATAGCTGTGAGTTCATCTTTCAAGTGGCCTTTCGTGGTTGAGTGTGTGCCATAAGGTCATTTGAGATGGCTCAATCATCCGAGTACAAAATATTTATTGTTTGAGATCCATGGCCTAAGCATTTTTCAATTGTGGTAATAAAACTTGAGATCCACACCGCTCTTCTCTTCCTAGTTAAATCAGATACTAAAGGTAGTTCAGTAGGAATCACACAAGAAATCGCCGTAGTTGATGTGAAGAACATGTACTTCAAAACTGCTCCGAGTAGGTGTGTAGTAAATTATTTGCAAGATCATCTCACTCTTTCGATGTATTCAGTCTAGTACGTAGGAACGTAATGTTACAGGAGTTTTATTCGGTAAACCATCGGCAAGGAAGTTAAGGCGCTGAACCATTTATCTCGTTTGATCGCACCTGGTGTCAGTATGGCATTAAAAGTATGGGATAAGAGGTGTTGAGTTGGCCAACGTGTAACTGTGGATCTGGTAGGTCAGACTATGAAGAGCACCTAACAATGACCCAAACATCTATATATGTATCACTATAACCATGTCCTACATGTTAGTATCGTTCAAAAATAGATAAGTACAGATGCATTTAAACAAACTGCTGTAAGCCGTACTAGCCCACTGAAGGTCGCCGGCTGTGGGTGTATAATCCACTTGTCTGTGCGAGGTTTGCTTGTGTTTCTTCTGTCATTGTTGTTTTTTGCAGACCTGTACTAAGTATGACAGGCGTGGTGAAACGGTCAGTCCAGTGGTGTACACTTGACATCATATGATTTTGGCAGGGGAGTGTCAAGGGAGATGTGGTGCTGAACCAATTATATTGTTTGTCAATGCCAACGTTTTGCTTTCTGACACTAGTATCGCACTATAGTGACCTCGCTCGTGGTTGCCATCTAGAGTCAGAGAGAATACACAAAGAACGTATGAAGACATTCATTTTTATTGTCGTTGTTTAAACAGTTGTCATCAATACCGTGACAATATTGCTTCGCCGTTGAATGAAAATGCCGTAATTGTTAAATACGCAGGCTTCCGTGCCTTTGTAGAGTGTATTTCGTTCTCCGTAATGACGTCGATATTCCACACCCAACAACTGGAGTATAAGAAGTGCATTCGACGGCACTTTATTTTGACGACGATAAAATCGGGCGTCGATGACATCGACGGGCTGAACACTTTCGCTGAAACTGTATCTGACTGCAGTCAGATCTTATGACGAATGCTATCGAAATGTGCATAACAACGATCTTTGTTAGTGAATTACGGGATCGAATAAGCCAAATACGAGGATGGATTTTGAATACGTATATTTCATACAATCGTTGATCCAGAGGGACGATCAGAAGAGCGAAGCGAAAAAAACAAAGAGGAGAGATCGATGCGAAAGAAAATGGCGCGTGGTACTGCGTCAGCCACTACAAGTATGATTTTCAGCTCGCTTGCGATACTCATAAGGAAAGGGTAGCCTGTTACTACACTTGTTTAGGTGGTAGCAAACATTGTTCCAGTTTGCCGTAACGGACAATTAGGAGTGAACTTTTTGTTATGTTTGCATGAACAAGAAAAGAAGTGGCCGTTAATATTATACTATGCGCATTAGGTATCGAGGGATTTGTGATGAACCGTGCTCGAGAATAGATAATGAATTACAACCTAACTCATGGGCATGCTATTATGACACTCTGTAGTTTACATGTTTGCCGGCCATTTTGTAAAAGGGTGAATACAATTTGATATGCAGTCTAACACGTGTAGACACGAGATACGTTTGTAAGAGCGTCTTTGTGTCGGCTGGTAAGCTATAAATTATTCTTACTACAATACTTTAGCTACTATTTACGTGTCATCTCATTTATGGGATCAGA